AAGGGGGGGGGGGGGGGGCCCCCCCCCCCCCCCCCCCCCCCCCGCTAGAAAAACTGATATAATTGTGATAGAAGTATAAAGTAGGATAATAATTCATTTGATGGAGTTTATAATTAGTGCTCTAAGAGATAATTGCAGTAAGGGGATGACCAGGACAGCTAAATAGAAGATAATTGCAAATTGCTCACCAGAAAAGTAGAATGCACAATATCAGAAGCAATACTTGGAATGCTTTAAAAAATGTAATTCAGCTTAACAACCAAAAAAGTTAATAATCCAATTGTTTTGGACTTCTAAATTCCATACTGTACAAATAAAGATCCAAGTTTTTCCCCTTTAAGGGAGAAGGAGAATAGTTCAGTATTCTGTCATCAACACTACACTGGCTAGTTTTTGATGAAGCATAATACTGCAATAGTAAATGACAAATGAAAACAATGACCACTACACTGTGATATGGACATGGCTACATATGGGTCTATACAGTAACAAACAACAGTGACACTCAATCAAGACACACTTAATACTTGCACTAGTAAATGACAAAAAAGAAAGCAATAATCTCTCCACAGTGATATGGACATGGCTACATATGTGTCTATACTGTAACAAGCAACAGACAGTCAAAGCTCCATAAAGTCAATGACAGAAAAAGACCTCATCTTTTAGAAGGCATAAGTAAAAGATGGCCAAGAACTATGTAACACAAAAGCTGTAGTACCTTTTTGTCTTTATTTTTCCGTGAGTTATGATCATCTTTTCTTCGCTTTCCAATCTCCTTTTTCTGCCACAAGGAATAGATAAAACTTAAAAGAATAAGGAACAGTTAAGAAAAGTCTATTCTACCTAACCAAAATAACTGGATATATTTGCTGAAGAAGGGAACGTAATGTGTTCCAGCTTCAGAACAAAGGCTTTTATAACAAAATCACTATACAATATTTTTGCAGTTACCCACATACAGTATTCTAATATTATTCTTTATGGAGTGTACAGTTAAGCAATATCATTTTTTGAGACATTGAAGTCCCTGCTCAGGGAAGTCAGGACCTTTAAAAATGAAAAGGGAAAACATCTTACTTCCTCATTTAGATCCTTTGTAAAATTTTGTGATTTAACATGTGTTCAACTACAGTGTTGTCAAAGAAAAAAAGCATAAAAGTCTATTAAGGATTTAAGGGTAAACACAATTAGAGTGTGACCTTGCCTTAAAGGGGTGCAAACAAAGAAAAAATTTATATATGTATAAATGATTAAAAAAACACTATTAGATTTGAACCGGAAACCTCATGATTCTCCTTTCACTTCATTGACCACTGGACACACCTTTGGGTGCACTCCTTAACAACTAAATATCAATTTGCTAGCTTTATTTATTAGGGGGAAAAGGGTAAATTTTGCCCTTGAACTATTTATGGACCAAAAGTGACTCTTTGTTAGCCAAGTAGCTCAAAAATGCCCTCCCCATAAAAGACGAGGGAACTTTTGGGCAGAAAACTAAACAAAGGACAAAAACATCCTATTTCAAATAGTTAAGGGGTATTTTTGTCCTTTTCCACAACAAGATACCCGATGTAATTCTACACGTGAGTTTTGGGGACAGTAGAGAGTATGCAGACCTTACACCTACCTTGGGAGGTAGAGAGGCTATTTCCGATAAGACTATTTTTGTCCTTTTCCCTTGAAATAAAAACCCTCCAAGGCTACATATGTTAGTTGATAAATTTCTTGAGAAATTAGACTTGGAGAGTTAGTGGAGAATCAAGAGTTCAATCTTTGAAGCTCGTATGTTATCACATGAAACATGTCATGTGACGAGATGTTGTTGCAGACTGATTGCTCATAACTTCGTTGTTTTGACCCATTCGAATACTAGAGAGAGGTTTTACGATTGCCCTAGAGAAGCTCTGTAAGTTTAGTTTCTTGGTTTTCATTTGTCCGGTTTAGTTAATTGATTTGTTGCTTTATTTGTTGGGTTTAGTAAATTGAAGCCAAAAAAAAGCTCAACTCATGTTGCTAAAATTCTGATTTAAGTAGGAGTTAGTATCTGAATTGGGTGGTAAATGTTACTTATTTTAGTTTGAAATATTATTGATTTTTTCCCGAAAATTTGCTAATTATTAATCATAAATTTTTCTTTACTTATCTAATTGGTGAAGTTAAATTTATTTATTCTTATTTGATTGGTCAGGTTAATTCATACTTTTTTTTGGGGAGTGGCATGACAAGAAGTCCCCCAAGAGCAGTGATTGCTATCAATACTTTAAATTCCTGTTGGATGCTATTAAGTCCGGAAGGAACAATCTAAAGTAAAAGGTTGATGAAATTGAAGATTACTGATTTTGTCGAATTTAACATAGTAAATTGGGGGAGAAAGTTGATAAATCAAATCTTTTGCTTGAGTGATTGAAAATCCATAGATCCCTATCGCAAGAGATCCAACAAAGAAATTCCAATAGAATTGTTTAAGCATTTGTAGAGCAATGCACCTACAATTTACTCAGAAAGCACAACTGTCCTAACTTACCCACATAGAAGTTCTTCCAGCATCATCATGCAGAGTCCTTATATAACAAAAAACATCGAAACAATGCTTACATTTTTTCCAACTCCGAAACAATTGAACACCTTTCTAGGTTCATTCTTTCTTATGTACCATGATCTCTTCAAGAATCTCTAGAGTACCAAGTTTAAACGATTTTCCATAGTTTGGAAAAAAGGCTTTCAAAGAAAATGGTTGAAGACCACCGGAGGAGGTTCCAAAGGCTTGGAAGGAGTCTTGGGATAAGTGCTTGCAAGCTTTTCCTAGGATAGTCCTTCCACTTTCCGAAAAAACCAATGGAGTTCATTCCCAATTTTCCTTGACACTCTAGTCCTTCCAAAAGTGGTGGCTTAATGTGGAAGGCTTCAAAGTAAAAGTTCAAGAGTGGTGGTGTTCTTTTATTATATCTGGTACCCCTGACTATATCCAAGCAACAAAATTAAGCATGTTAAAGGCTAAACTCAAAGAATGGAGCAAAGAGCACCAAGGTGAACTGGAAGGCAAGAAAAAGCCACATCCTAGATCAAATAGGGAGCTTGGAGACCATCCAAGAGGGCAGACCTTTAAATGATGATAAGCAGCTGGTAAAGGCTCATTTAGCCATGGAATATGAGGAAGTGGCCAGAAATGAAGAAATATTTTGGAGGCAGAGATCCAGAGTCCATTGGATCAAATGTGGTGATAAAAACACTAAGTTCTTTCACAGAATGACCACTGCACATAAAAGACTCAACACTATAGATTCCCTGTTGATCAATGGAGAACTATCTAGTGATCTTGTGGCTATCAAGGGCTCCATTGTGGATTTTTATCAAGATCTCTACAAAGAATCAGAAAATTGGAGACCTTATTTGAATCTTAATGAAGTACAAGGCATTTCAACAGAAGAAAGAAACAACCTTGAGGGAGTTTTTGAGGAAGAAGAGATATTGGAAGGAATAAAGATGTGTGCTGCAGAAAAAGCACCTGGTCAAGATGCAGACATTCCACAGATTTCATGTGTGCTATACCATGGCTTTCTTTCAAGCTTTCTGGGAAACAATAAAGGAAGAACTGATGCAGACATTCCACAGATTTCACTGTCATCACAAGTTTGAGAAGAGCTTCAATGCCACTTTTGTAGCTTTGATTCCTACGAGGGTTGGGGCAAATGATCTAAGAGATTTCAGACCCATCATTCTAATCTCCAGGATCTACAAAATCATAGCAAAGGTGTTGGCTGAGAGATTAAAGAAGATAATAAGCAGAGTTGTAAGCAACCACCAGATGACTTTCATCAAAGGGAGATAAATATTGGATGCTGCTCTTATTTCTAGTGAGTGCATTGACACCAGGATTAGAGGAGATGTGCCTGGAGTTATGTGCAAATTAGATATAGAAAAGGCCTTTGACCACCTGAACTGGAGTTTCTTGTTGAACACTCTCAGGCAAATGGGATTCGGGAGAAGGTGGATTAAATAGATAGAATTCTTTATCAAAACTACTAGGTTCTCCATTTATCAAAATGGAGAACCTGCAGGTTTTTTTCCAGCTAAAAGAGGTTTGTGACAAGGGGATCCCTTGTCCCCTTTCCTGTTCATCATAGCTATGGAAGGGCTAGGCAGTCTGATGAGAAGGGCAGCAACAAACAACTGGATAAGAGGCTTCAGCATTAAGAACAGGAACAATGAACGCTGGACAAGAGGCTAGGCAGTCTTGTAGAAGGCTGGAGGCCTGCTTTTGAGATTGCTAACTGTCCTAGAATCTCCCAGGAAGATCAAGAGTGGCTGCAAAGGACATTCACTGAAGCTGAGGTATTGGGTACTATCAAACAGTGTGATGGTGACAAAGCTCTGGATCCAGACGACTTTACAATGTGTTTCTTCAAGGAATGTTGGGGGACCTTGAAAGAGGACATGATGAAGACAATACACAATTTCCATCAAAATGAGTTTTTTGAGAAGTCTTTCAATGCTACGTTTATAGCACTTATTCCTAAGAAGAAGGGAGCAGAAGAGTTGAAATACTTCAGACCAATAAGTCTAATTGGTGGAGTCTACAAAATTATAGCCAAGCCCATTACTGAGAGAATGAAGAAGGTTATGGGGACTCTGGTTGATGAACACTGTTAGAATAGAAATATGTATATATTCCTACTTAGAATAGGAAGAAGAATAGGAATAGGAATCCTAGTTAGAAAAGGATTTCAATGTATATGTATTGTCTATAAATAGGGTCTCAATGTAACAATTTAGATACACAATTCAATATTATTTTTCCCATATATTTCTCACATGGTATCAGAGCATTGGTGAGAAACTTCAAGTCACCGTGTCAAATTCCGGCGACGACGGTTGGGACTGATTTGTGTCATCTTTCGTTCTGAAGGTGTTGTGTGAAAGACAACACCATCACGAGGCTCGGAAAGCTCAGGCGACCGAACCCCAAGAATTTCCACCGGAAAACAACCCCCCACGCGCCCCCACGCAACGTTTGGAGGTGGAAGTTTTCCGACGAGATCTGTTCACGCGCCGGCGCGTGAGTACTGCTCCGGTCATCTTTTTTCGAGCTGTTTTCTTCTGTTGGGGTCCCCCAGTATTTCCGACCAAAACCCATTCAGTTTTCTCTAGATCCGATCACCGGAATTAGGGTTCCGGTGATTTTCCGGCAGTTTCCAGCGAGTTTCTTACTCTTTTCAAGTCAAATTTCGAAAAAATGTTTTTCAGGTGTGATGTTTTTGGCTCCAAAAATACGGGGATTGGAAGTTCAAGCCTTACAATCACTTCAGAACCATTAATGGGAAGTTCAAACTATCTAGCTTGGGATTCTTCAGTTGAGTTGTGGTGCAAGGGTCAAGGTGTTCAAGATCACTTAACAAACAATGCTTGCGTTGTAGATGAAAAGACAAAGTCTAGTGACGAAAGTGCAAAAGCCAAAGCACAATGGGAGAAAGTGGATGCCCAATTATGTAGTCTCCTTTGGCGCTCTATTGATTCTAAGTTGATGCCCTTGTTTCGCCCATTCCAGACATGTTATTTAGTTTGGGAAAAGGCACGTGCTTTATACACTAATGACATATCTCGATTCTATGATGTGATATCTCGGATGACCAACTTAAAGAAACAAGAATCTGATATGTCTACTTACTTGGGACAAGTACAAGCAGTCATGGAGGAATTTGAAGCGTTGATGCCTATCACTACAAATGTGGAAAAGCAACAAGAGCAAAGGCAGACATTGTTTCTAGTTCTTACACTTGCTGGACTTCCTACTGACCATAACTCTGTGCGTGACCAGATTCTAGCCAGTCCTACAGTTCCCTCAATTGATGAATTATTCTCTCGTCTGCTTCGTCTTGCTGGTCCTCCCAGTCACAAAGAAGTTTCATCATCCATTGTTGACTCCTCAATTCTCGCATCTCAAACAACAGAAAAGCGTACATACCAGTCTATGGAGAATCGGCGAGGGGGAGGGCGTTTTGGGAAACCTCGATCCAAGTGTAGTCATTGCCATAAACCTGGACATACTCGTGACATATGTTATATTTTGCATGGTCCACCACCCAGTTATGATCCTATTGTTCTTAAGGAATATAATGAGTTCCTTCGAAATCGCGCAAGTAAACAGACATATGGTGCTCAACCTAATCAACCATCCAATAATGCTCATATTGCTCAGACAGAATATGATGAGTTCCTTCGGTATCGTGCAAATAAACAAACGTCTCCACAAGTAGTTTCGGTTGCACAACCTGATGTTTCTGTTGTGGGTAATTCATTTACTTGTGTGTCACAGTCTAGCACTCTTGGATCATGGGTCATAGACTCAGGGGCTTCTGATCATATCTCCGGTAATAAATCACTTTTGTCCGATATTGTTTATTCACAATCTCTTCCTGCTATTACTTTAGCAATGGGATTCAAACAAAACCAAAAGGGGTTGGAAAAGACAAACCCCTATCTTCTGTCACCCTAGACTCTGTTCTTTATGTCTCTGGTTCTCCTTTTAATCTAGCATCTGTTAGTCGTTTGACGAAGGCTCTACATTGTAGCATAACTTTTTTTGATGACTTTTTTCTTCATGCAGGACTGCAGTACGGGACAGACGATTGGAACAGGACATGAATCACAAGGCCTTTACTACCTTGCCTCTTCAAATTCCTTGAAAGCATGCTCCGTTATAGATTCCCCAGATCTAATTCACAAACGTTTGGGACATCCGAGTCTATCCAAACTGCAAAAGATGATGCCTAGTTTGTATAGTTTATCCAAATTAGATTGTGAGTCGTGTCAACTTGGGAAACACACTCGTGCTACATTTTCACGTAGTACTGAGGGTCGTTCAGAGTCTATTTTTTCATTAGTTCATTCTGATATTTGGGGTCCTAGTAGAGTCAATTCCACCTTAGGATTTCATTATTTTGTTAGTTTCATTGATGACTATTCAAGATGTACTTGGGTTTTCTTAATGAAAGATCGTTCTGAGTTATTTTCTATATTCAAAAGTTTCTTTGCTGAAATACAAAATCAATTTGGTGTTTATATTTGTACTTTTCCTAGTGATAATGCCTTAGAATACTTATCCTCCCAATTTCAGGAGTTTATGACTCACCAAGGCATTATTCACCACCAGACTACTTGTCCATACACCCCTCAACAAAACGGTGTAGCTGAAAGAAAAAATCGGCATCTTATTGAGACCGCTCGTACTCTTCTCCTTGAATCCAATGTTCCACTG